TTCACAGGAGGACGTGCGGGCGGCGCCGCAGGAGACCCGCGGTGAGCGCGCGCGCGCGGGGCCGAGGGATTGGGGGGTGAGGGAGCGGAGCGGGACCCTCCCGATCCCCGGCCCCTCACCCCTCACGCCTCCCCAGCGCTCTACCGAGAGTACCGCGCCCTGAAGGAGGCCCTGGGTCAGGCGGGCGATGTCGGGCGCCGCGGCCCCGTGCAGTCGCTTCCGGCGGCAGCGGAGGAGGAGGTACCCCGGCGCCGATACCCCAGCCTTCCGGCTTAGCCTCCTGTACCGCCAAGCCTGCGAGGGGCGCAGACTTTGGGGGAGGACTGGGCAGGGTGCAGGAGGGCCGGGCGGTCCTCTCGTGCTCTGATGGCCTGGGGACGGGGCTGAAGACACCTTTGCCCGCCCCCCAGCTTTTGCCTGGGCCCCCACTGTCTCCTCCTGCAGATACCTGAGCCTGGCTGCTGGGGGTCCCACCTGAATCGGGCTGCAACCCAGAGTTCTCATCCGAGCCCAGAGCAGAGCTCTCGGGGTTCTGCGCAGGACTATGGGGAGAGGATTAAGGCCAACCTGAAGGGCACCCTGCAGGTGAGGGGTAAGGGTGGGACAGGCAGTCCGTCCTGGGTCCAGAACTACCTTTTGTCCAGGACCACCAGACACTCCTTTCTGTCAGCCTTCTCACACACAAGTGCTTGCACTAGCTCACACACGCATCTCTGCCATTAAGCAGGTCGCTTCTGGAAGGAACTCAGGGTCTGTCTCTGCTCTCAGCTCCCTTTCTTTTCCAGCCGTGTGCTTCTCACCTTGCCCCACTGTTAAAGGTGGGGACTTTTGTGGGTTTCAGAGTCTGGGGCTGTCCAGAGCCTGAGTTCCTGCTCACTAGTCTGTCATCCCCCTCCTAGGCTGGGCCAGCCCTGGGCCGCATACCCCGGCCTCCACGAAGAACCCCATCCATGCCTTCCACGGGGCCACCAGATGCAGGGGTTACCACCGTCTCTCCACAAGTCAGTGACGTGCCCTCCCAGCCTCCCAGGCCCCAGCTGAGGCCAGGCCGGCTCCAGCAGCTGCAGGCATCCCTGAGTCTGCGGCTGGGCTCCCTCAATCCTGACTGGCTGCAGCGTTGTCACAGTGGGGCCCCAGATTTTCTGGGGACTCCTGAGGTCTGCCAGCCTGTCCTGGGTACAGAGAAGCCACAGCCTCAGACTTCAGGTGTCCTTGGTCCCAGTACTGGCCCGGGGGAACCTTTACAGGGACCAGAGGCTCCAGCTCTACCGGCAGCCAGAGTCAGTGCAGGAAGCCCCCCACTTGGTAGCAGTCAAAGCAAGAAGCGGAGACGGGAAGGGGAGCTGGAGGAGAGCCCTGCGCAGGCTCAGCAGAACAGCGGCCACGCGGGATCCCTGCCCGGGGGAGCTGGGGCCGCAGCGCTTTCAGGACACGGTCCGGGGGCGCCCGTGCAGGCACAGCCCCCCGCCAGCCCCACGGCCCGCAGGTACCACAACTTCGGCATTCAGCAAGATCGCTTTGAGTTGAGCCAGGGTGGAGAGGGCCCTGGGCACGGCTCACCTGTGCGTCCCTTGTAGGCCAGCCGTCTGCGACAGGGGTAATTATGTGCGGCTCAACATGAAGTGGAAACGCTACGTCCGGGGCCCGGCCTTGCGTGGCCATCTCCTCCGTAAACAGGTGAGATGGCAGTAGGTGTGTCCCTCACCCCTCCTGCCTCTTGCCTGTGACCCTCCTTTGTGGCCCTCTCCCCAGGTGTATAAGCAGAAGTGGCAGAAAAAAAGGGAGTGTTTTGGGGGTGGTCAGCCTAGAACCACCGCCAAGGATTCTTGCTTCCGATGTGGGCAGCTCGGCCACTGGGCATCCCAGTGCCCCCAGACAGGTGAAGCCTCTGCTCTGGATGGTGGGTCGGGCAAACACTGGAGAAGATGTCGTGCTCTTTGGAGGTGGGGACGGTGCCTTAAGCAAAAAGCCCTATTGACTCTCTATTTCTGGCCCAGAGCCTACCCTGGCCCCCCAGAAGGAGGATGGCAAGGGTGAGGATGGCGTGCACACCCTGCCCACGTTGGAGGAAGTAGCCCAGAGGATGGGCACTGCCTATTCCCAGCTCTCTGGTGAGTGAAGGGCTGGGGGACAGGTTTAGACAGTGACCATCTTACTAGGAGGGTGCCAGCCCATACTGGGGTTCCCACACCATCCACTCCTGTCTGTTCTCAGCAGGTGAGGAAAATGCACAGCCCGGGCCACCCTGCCCGCCCCAACCCATGCCACCACTCTACCAGCCAGGATGCTCAGGGCAGGTAGCAGGTGAGCAGATGCCTGCCAGCCTAGAACCTACACTGAGGGGCGAGGGTGACTCGGGACCGTATTGACCACCTGCTGTGTCTACAGAGACGCCAGCTGAGGTGTTCCAGGCCCTGAAGCAGCTGGGGCACCAAGCCTTCCGCCCTGGGCAGGAACGCGCAGTCATGCAGGTCCTGTCTGGTGAGCATGGCTGCCCAGGGTGGAGAGGGGGAGGCAGGGCCAAGGCGGGCCACAGAGCAGTGCTGCTGATCTCAGTCCCACCCAGGCATGTCTACACTGCTGGTGCTGCCCACCGGTGCTGGCAAGTCCCTGTGCTACCAGCTACCTGCGCTTCTCTATGCCCGACGAAGCCCTTGTCTCACGCTGGTCATCTCTCCTCTCCTGTCACTCATGGATGATCAGGTGTGCAAACAGGACCCTTGAGCGCAGGCAGAAGGCAAGAACCGGCACCCACGGTTCGTCCGTTCCTTTGGCCTACTGCGTCTTACCCCACCCCCACCCCAGAGCTGCAAGGAGCCAACTGTTCTCGGCCTACCCGCTCTCTTCACAGCCCCAGGCCTGGCAGTGGCCTGAGGGCAGCAGGGCCATGGCTGGCCAGACTCGGGCCATCCCCAGTGCAGCCTGTGCTTCAGTGCTCCTCAGCCAATGCCCCAGGTGCCTCTGAATTCAGTCCTGGCACCCAGGGTCTGGGTATTTGCTCCTCAGAGGGTTTAGGGTGGGGCCAGCAGGAACTGTCAGGCTGAGCAGCTTGGAGAGGCATTTGGAGAAGGGCCAGGGCTAAGTAACCTTCGGCAGGCTGTGCTCCTGTATTTACAGGTGTCCGGCCTTCCGCCAGGGCTGAAGGCAGCCTGTGTGCACTCAGGCATGAACAGGAAACAACGGAACTCTGCCCTGCAGAAGGTGAGGAGTCTCAAGGGGGACGACTGGTAGGGACTGCGAACAGGACCCTGGGTAGCGGTCTTGATCTTGTTCTCAGGCTCGGGCAGCCCAGGTGCACGTACTGATGCTGTCGCCCGAGGCGCTGGTTGGGGCTGGGGCAGGAGGTCCTGCTTGCCTCGCCCAGCTGCCTCCAGTGGCCTTTGCCTGCATCGACGAAGCCCACTGTCTCTCTCAGTGGTCCCACAACTTCCGGCCCTGCTACCTGCGCATCTGCAAGGTGAGCCTGGTCCAGGTACAGGTGAGCAGGCCGGGGGTGGAGGGGGGACTGATGTCCTTACTGCTCCTCCTGCACAGGTGCTGCGGGAACACCTGGGTGTGTGCTGCTTCCTGGGTCTTACAGCCACAGCCACACATAGCACGGCCCTCGACGTGGCCCAGCACTTGGGTGTGGCCAAGGAACATGTTCTCAGGGGACCAGTCATCATCCCCCCCAACTTGTACCTCTCTGTGTCCATGGACAGAGACCCGGACCAGGTAGGTGTGCACACCTGGGCCTGGTAGAGGCCCTGCCCCCCGACTGCCCACACTGGCTGTCTCCCACCAGGCTCTGGTGACACTGCTGCAGAGTGACCGTTTTCGCTTCCTGGACTCTGTCATCATTTACTGCAACAGACGAGAGGACACTGAGCGTGTCTCTGCTTTGCTTCGCACCTGCCTGCGTGAAGCCTGGGCCCCAGGGCCCAGAGGTGAGATGGGGGCAAGGCTGTGCCCCACAGACTCGCCCAGGTTAACACTCTGCCTGACCATCCATCTGCCTCACAGGCCGAGTCCTGGAGGCTGTGGCCGAAGCCTACCACGCCGGTATGTGCAGCCGGGCACGCCAGCGGGTACAGCAGGCCTTCATGGAGGGCCGGCTACGAGTGGTGGTTGCCACCGTGGCCTTTGGGATGGGGCTGGACCGACCGGATGTGCGGGCGGTGCTGCACCTGGGGCTGCCCCCAAGCTTTGAGAGCTACGTGCAGGCCGTGGGCCGTGCCGGGCGTGATGGGCAGCCCGCACACTGCCACCTCTTCCTGCAGCCCCAGGTTGGTGCCCAAACCGCTGGAGCTCCCCTGCCCTGCCCAGCACCATGGCCACGCATTCACAGTTGTTCCGCTGCAGGGCGAGGACCTGTGGGAGCTGCGCAGACACGTACATGCCAATGCCACCGACTTCCTTGCCGTGAAGAAGCTGGTGCAGCGTGCATTTCCACCCTGTGCCTGCCCTCGGCAGCTCTCAGGGCAGGAGGGAGGCGAGAGTCAGGACAAGCACTCGGCCTCGGCCTTTGTGACTGAGTCCCGGAGGGAGGACAAGCAACCTGGCAATGAGCACACAGTCCGGTGCCCCGGTCACAAGCGGGCACTCCCGGTGCAGCCGACAGTGCAGGCCCTGGACCTGCCTGAGGAGGGTGAGCGACTGGGGCAGGAGTCGGGGAATACCCCATGACCCACGTCTGCTGATCCCTACTCTGCTCCCAGTTATTGAGACCTTGCTGTGTTACCTGGAGCTGCACCCACAGCACTGGCTGGAGCTGCTGGCACCCACCCACGCCCGCTGCCACCTACATTGCCCTGGGGGCCCCACACAGCTCCATGCCCTGGCCCGCAGGTGAGCACACATCCTACCCCAGGCTGAGGACAGGGCTGGAACCTGGCTGCTAGTCACTAGTCCCTTTTGGCATAGGTGTCCCCCGCTGGCTGTGTACTTGGCCAAGCAGCCGCCTGAGCAAATGGGCAGGGGAAGCTGTGCTGTGGAGTTTGACGTGGTCGAGCTGGTGGACTCCATGGGCTGGGCGCTGGGCCCTGTGCGACAGGCCCTCCGCCAGCTGCAGTGGGATCCAGAGGCCAGGACAGGTGCGTCCATCCCCGGCCCTGTGTGCCACCCACCTGCCTACCCACTCCTCCTGACACGCTCTCTGGCAGGTGTGCCTCGAGGTACTGGGGTGACAGTGGAGTTCAGGGAGCTGGCCTTGCACTTGCACAGCCCCGGGGACCTAACAGTCCAGGAGAAGGACCAGATCTGCGACTTCCTGTATGGCCGCGTGCAGGCCCGAGAGCGGGAGGCCCTGGCCTGCCTGAACCGTACCTTCCAGGCCTTCCGCAGGTGCGGGAGTGGGTGGACAGGGCCTGGGGCTGCCGTGTGCCAGGTGGGCAGCTCTAACGAGCTCCTCCTGCCACAGCATGGCCCTCCCCAACTGCGGGCCATTCCTGGAGCAGCCAGATGAGGAGCACAGTGCCAGACTCAAGGCTTTGCTCAGCCAGTACTTCGAGGAGGATGGGCTGGGGGGCTCAGGGGACGAGCAGGGCCCGGAGCCGGAGCAGGCCAGGGTGAGTGCCAGCCCCTCCTGGGGGTTGCACAGAGGGTCCAGGGCCCTGGAAACTTGGGTCAGCCTGATGCACTGCTGCCCACAACTCCAGGACTGGGAGGTCCAGATCCGCAGGGACATCCGCCATTTCCTGTCCTCGTGGCCGGAGCAGCAGTTCTCGGGCAGGGCTGTGGCCCGCATCTTCCACGGCATTGGTGAGGCCGGGGAGGCTCAGCCCCAGTAGGCATGGGCTGGGTGCCCAGTCAGCTGGCGGCAGTGCTCAGGGCCACATGTCCCCTTCTGCTGCAGGAAGTCCCTGCTACCCGGCCCAGGTGTACGGGCGGGACCGGCGCTTCTGGAGGAAGTACCTGCACTTGAATTTCCACGCCCTGATGCAGCTGGCCACAGAGGAGGTCCTGCTGTGGGGCCGCTGACCACCTGCGTCAGGGGCAAGCTCCCCATGCTGCCGGCTCAGGCGTGAATGGCTCCATGTTGCAGTATAGAGAGTGTCGTGTGCAGCAGCTCATCAAGGCAAAGACAAGGGGACGTGGCTGGCCAAGACAGCGACTACCTTAGGCCAACCCCATTGCTAGGGATGTGGGGACATGGAGGCCCGAAAATGCAGAATAAAAAACTTAAGTTATTTTTAGGGACTCTATTTTCCGGTGGGGCAGTGCCCACAGTCAGAGGACCCCACACATCCCAAACAGACACAGCTAGGCCACAGTCTTACTCATCTTTATTAGCTAATCTATTTGCCCAGCTCAAGCCAGGGTGCCAGGTGCCAGGCTCAGGTACAGAATGGGCATGGCTGAGAGAGCAAGGAACAGAGAGAAGCAGCAGGGCAGCCCCAGGCTGTCAGCCAGGGCTCCAGCCATTGTGCCCAGCAGCAGCTTCCCCAGCAGCTCCAGGGTGGCCAGGAGGCTATAGTGTGTGCCCTGAGATGGCGGGGTGGAGGGGAGGCGGCGATTAGGTCAGGACTTGCTTGTACCCCAGCCCTGCACGCCCCCCTGTCCCAGCCACGCTTCTCACCTGCAGGGCACTGGGTGCCAGCTGGCTGCAGCGCATCATCAGTGTGAAGGTGGCGGTTGTGACCAGGCCCCCCAGGAAGTGCTGCAGACACAGGCTTAGCAAGGCTGCCCCTGGAAGGGCCAAGATCAGCAGGGCCCAGGACTCTGTGCTTTTCCCCCCATGGCCTGCCCCCCACCTCTCAAAACTGTTCCTGGGCCCAGCCTGGTCCCTGGGGCGTCCAGGTAGAAGAGCAAGGCGCTCTGGCAGGCGAGGCCTCCAAGGCGCAGCTGCAGCACTGACCGCAGCAGGGGCAGCAGCTGCCTGTGGTAGGGAGGATGGGCAAGTCGGGGTGTGGGGCAGGCCAGGGGTGAGCGGGTAGACAGGGCAGGCTCAGAAAGGCTCACCGGTGCCTGGCCAGCAGGGCCCCACCCAGGGACGAGCCAGCGATGGAGCAGGCCACGGCACCCACAGCATTCCACAGCCCCAGCTCTGGGGCAGAGAGGCCTCGGTCCAGCAAGAGGAGTGGGAACAGGCTGCTGGCGCCCTGCTCACCTGTGGGGACAACACGAACCAGGGAGTCCACCTCCCATCTCTACCTGGGGCCCGTCATGCCCCCCAGCTGGGCTGCTGCCCAGCCTCTGTCCTGGGCCACAGGTCCCAGAACACAGTGTTAATTGGGCATCAGTGAAGCTCAGGGTCAGCATGAACAGAAGCTTGTGGCTGGAGCTCAGAGTGGCCGTGGAGGTAGAGCTGGAGAAAGGCAAGGCCCAGCAACAGAACCAGACTTGGCTCCAGCCCACAGGTCACACCCCAGAAAGAGGGCAGCCCCGCAAGTGGGTTCCTGGGCTCCAGAGGACCCACCTGAAGCTCCCCAGGCTCCCATCCCTCACTCACCCAACTTGTAAGTTAGCACGAAGCCTGCCATCCACAGGGTCCCCGACACAGCCAGCAAGTCCCGCAGAAGGCGCAGGGTGTGTGGGGGTAGTTCTGAGGGCTGAGGCCTGGGCAGCTGTTGCAAGGCCGGCGCAGCCCAGGCCAGGGCAGCAGCCAGCCAGTAGATGGTGGCCAGGAGCAGAAAGAGCAGGGGCCAGGAGAGGGTGGGTACGAGGGCCAGCAGCCCACCGCCGGCCAGCACCGACCCCAGCTTGTAAGCGACCACCTGCACGGTGTTGCCAGGCCCCAGCTCCGCTGGCTCCAGGAGCTGCACGGCCAGCACGTCCAGGGCCACATCCTGCACTCAGCAGAAGCAGCCCTGCCACAGTGACAGGCAGCCCGGCCTGGCCAGCTTCAGCGGGAGGCAAGGCTGCCAGCAGCCCACACAGCAGGCCCAAAGCAGCCGTGCTGACCACTACCCAGGACCTCGGGGAGCCCCGCGTGTCCACCAGTGGTGCCCACACCAGCTTGAACAGCCATGGCGCATACAGCACCTTGGCCAGTCCCACGCGAGTCAGGGAGAGACCACCAGCTCGCAGCAGCATGGGCAGCAGGCCAGACTGCAGCCCATAGGGCAGGCCCTGCACCAGGTAGAGACCGGCCAGCAGCAGCAGCTTCCCGTGCATGACCCGAAGCGCCGGGGCCAGGGCCAGCCCGTAGGGTTGCCGGAGCCCAGGCCCTGGCAGCTGGGGCTGAGTTCAAGGCCAGGTCTGGGGTGGGATCCCAAGTCTCCCTCAGAGTCTGGGGCAGGGCGGTTGTGAGTGGGCTTGTGGCCTAACCCAGTAAGGGTGGGAGCCACATGGCCGCATTGCCTTTGGACTGGGCCAGGCGGGGTTAGGGCTGGATTGGCTAGCGTCTGCACTCACGGCCTCGCGTCCTGGAGGCGGTCGTATGCCCAGGACCGCAGGCCGTCCTCCGCTCCAAACCATTCAGCCCGGAGCGCAGCCGGGAGACGCGGAACCATAGAGCACTCGAGCGGGCCAGAGCGCCGGACACCCTCAGACGCCCCCAGTGGCCAACCTGGGTGCTGCCGGCGTGCTGCGGGACACAGGCTGGAGTCCTTGGCCGGGCGGCCTGCAGGCAGCTGCGGCGCCAAGGACAGACAGCATGGAACGTAGTATGCGACAAACCCATGCTGGCACCTTCCAGGGTTATCAGACCCGCCCCCGCCCCCGCCCCCACCACCTGGACCCAGACCCTAAATCTCCAAAAGTGCTTCCTAGTATCTCACCTGAACTAGCTTTTTGTGGTGGCTGCAGGGTCTCCACAGCAGCCCCCAGGCAGGAGCTGGCCTGTTAAGGTTCCACTGAGCACTACAGCGTACTTCTGCCCCTGGCCCCTCACCTCATTATGCCTGTGGTTTCGGCAGCGCTCCACTCCCGCCACCCAAACCAGTGGCCACAGAGGACCATAGAAGGCTGGTTTGTGCACAGGTCAGGCCCCAGGCTCAGCCAACTGCCGCCTGCAACACACTCTAGTGTCCAGAGACAAGCCCAGACCGTGCCTGACCCCAGGTGGCCTGGCTGAGAAAGAGGCCCACCCAAAGGAGGCTGAATGTGGGGACCCTGATGCCTCTGCTGCCCAGAGGAGGCGTGGAAGCAAGGCCCGTGAGCAAGAACCGCCTCGCTAGTGAGCAAAGAACCAGATCCCTGGCCCATGCTGTCTCCCGGACATGGGCCCAAGGCTGGCCCAAGCCCTGTACCCACCCGCAGGCATGCGGACCAAGGCGCTTTCTCAGCAGCCAAGGCCACTTCTACATATGTTTCCTTGTGTATAAAATAGGGGCTACCGTTTCTACCTCCGAGGACCACTTGTGTAGTGACTCACAACACTGTCTGGTGTGAACACAGTAGGCGCTCATCCCTGTGTTCCAGGGGTAAGGATACAGGGCTGTCCACCTGCCCCGGCTGGGTCCTCCAGCCCAGCTCTTCCCAGGGCGCCTCTCACTCAGCATCTTACCTGCTCTCTTCACCCGCACCTGTCCTCAGGTGCTCCAGCTCAGGTGGGGGCTCTCCCTCCCCCCCACCCCAAGGGCTGCATTTGCACTAGGAGGTCACACACACTCACCACACACTTCAAACCACACGAGCAGGGCAAGACCTTGGCAGGGATGCTCCACCAGCAGCCCCAGGCGGCCATTAGGAAGAGAGCCAAGACTTCCTCCTGGAGCCCAGGGAGGCGCTGGGGATGCAGGCAGCCTCCTCTGTGAGCCCTCCTGGACCACTGCTCCTGAGGGCAGAGCGGCATTCACTCAAGGCTGAGTCCCCAGGCCGGCAAAAAAGGCACTCACGAGACAAAGGTGGGGAAGGCGCACACGGGCGCCGCCTCCTGGCAGTCGGTCTGTCTCACAGCTTTATTAAGGGCCTGAGAGAGGCCGGGGCCTAGCCCCACAGGCAGCGAGTCCAGAGGGTACCAGAGACCCCCAGGGCCTAGGCACTGTCAGTCAGAGTCCCTGGCCAGGTCCTTCAGGAGTACTCTTGGGTGAACTTGGCGTGGAACTGGCTCAGCTTCTCCAGAAGGGGCCGCAGTTTCTCCATGGGCGGCAGAATGGTCATCCTAAATTGGGGAGGAAGGTAAGCAAAGGGGGCAGGGGCCGCGGGTAGGGGCTGCATGGCAGGGACTCACCGGAAGTGGTAGGTGCCTTCCCGCTGCCCGAAGCCGCTGCCGGGCACCACGCAGATGCCGGTCTCCTCCAGCAGGCTCATGCAGAAGAACATGTCCGGAGCCAGACCCAGCTCCTGAGGTGGGTGGGTGGGCGGGCGG